CTCTGCTGGGCTTTCTTCAGGAGCTGGTGGGTCTGATGAGGCCAGATGAGGTCCTTTCTGATGTGGGTTCTGTTACGCCCCTGTCTAGGGGGAAGGAGCGCCACATGCCACAGCTGCCAGGGGTGCCACGGGCGGCTGTGGCACAGAGCGGGTCGTTCCTTAATCGGAAGGTTGTGGGTTCGATCCCCGGCTCCTGGTGCCACATGTTGAAGTAGCCTTGAGCAAGATACTGAACCCCGAATTGCTCCCGATGCCATGCATCGGTGTGTGAATGTGTATGAATGTTAGTTCCTGTTTGATGGGCTTTGCCATCACTGAGTGAATGTGTGTGAAAGGGTGAATGTCTCACGTAGTGTAAAAGCGCTTTGAGTGGTCGGAAGACTAGAAAGGCGCTATACAAGTACAGGTCCATTTACCATTTACATAAATGTATGATGAAAATGAACCAATAATCCTACCCCGATTCCCAAACGAACAACTAACACAGTGTTAATCAAGTGATGTGATTTATTTACAAACAGGTGAAACAAAGTGCAACAAAAACTAAACAACAAACTTCAGGGTGAACCAAGGCCAAAACAACAAACAAAACAGGGCTAACTTCCTTAAACAAAAATCCTTACTAATCCCTATGCAATATAAATAAAATACAGTTACTAAACCTAACTCCCTAACCTAATGAAAAACAGGAGAAAAGTAGTACAAAGAAAGTGGCAGCTCACCCTTACGATACTCACTAAACACAATCATACAAAAACACTATCTACTAAGGTCGTAACAATTCACTCTATCGCAAAAACACACTCTACCATACCATGACATAATACTAATAATACGGCCAGGGCCGTAACAGGTTCCGAGGTATTTAAAGTTTTTCCACCCCCTCTACCTCTGTCTCACCAATGTACAGTGGGGTGTGCTGTTCCCTCCTCCTCCTCCTAGGATCAATAATCATCTCCTTTGTCTTGTTTGTGTTCAAGGAGAGATTATTTTCCTGACGCCAGGCCATAAGTCCTGCCAACTCTCTTCTGTATGCCGTCTCCTCCCCACCACTGATCAGTCCAATGGCCGTGGTGTCGTCTGCAAACTTTATAATGCAGGTGTTGGTCTGGGAGGACACACAGTGGTAGGTAAAGAGGGTGTAGAGCAACGGACTTAGCACACAGCCCTGGGGGGTCCCTGTGCTCACAACTCTGATGCCTGATGTCCGGTCTCCAACTCTGACTGACGGGTCTGTCTGTGAGGAAGTTCAGCACCAAGTTAAAGAGGGAGGGTGTCAGTCCGAGGGTGAGGAGCTTTTCAGAGAGCCTGAATGGAATGACCGTGTTGAATGCTGAGCTGTAGTCCATGAAAAGTATTTGTACATACGTGTCCCTGCCCTCTAAGTGTGTGAGGGCAGTGTGGATGGCAGTGTTGACAGCATCGTCTGTGGAACTGTAAGGGGTCCAAGGTGGCCGGGATGGTCTTTTTAATGTGTGTCATGACTATCTTTTCAAAACACTTCATCACGATTGGAGTGAGTGCAACAGGTCGATAGTCATTAAGACAGGTCACAGTGACCTTCTTTGGGAGGGGCACGATGGTGGTGGACTTATCAGGATGTTATCTTCTCAGAGCGGAGCGCACCTCTACTGGTGACACAGAGAGTGGTGTGTCCAGTGTGCCCAGCCTAGAACTTGTTGAGCCTATCCGGTAGTGTGACTCTGCTTGTTGAGGCCCCCAAACTCTTCTGTTTTTAGTCTGTGATGTGTTGCAGACTTTGTGACATGCTCCGGGGATCAGCAGTGGTGTAGTATACCAGTCTGTATTGTCTCTTGGCCTGTCTGACTGATCTACGCAGGTCATATCTGGCCTTTTTGTAGTCCTCAGTGTTGCCCGAGACAAATGCAGCAGAGCGAGGATGTAGCATGGACAGCACTTCGCAGTTAATCCAGGGTTTGTCGTTAGGATAGGTCTTGCAGCGTTTAGTGGGGATAATGTGCAAATGCTAATGTAGCCAGTTACAGCTGCAGCATATTCCTGTAGGTCCACAGTGCCATCCCCTCTCAGAGCAGCAGTTTTAAACACACCCCAGTCTTTACTTTTAAAGCAGTCCTGAAGCACCAGTTCAGATTCTTCATTCCCCACTTTAATAGTTTTACTTACTGGAGGAGCTTGTTTGAGGAGTTGTTTGTAGGCTGGGAAGGAGGAACACTGAGATGTGGTCTGATAGCCCAAAGTGCAGCCGAGGCACAGCCTTGTAGGTACTCTTCATGTTGCTGTACACTTGGTCGAGAGTATTCTTCACCCGTGTAGGAAAGCTCACGTGTTGATGGTACTTTGGTAGGACGCTGCTGAGGTTGCAGTGGTTAAATTAAAGCCACGATGAAGACGGCATCTGGGTGTGCAGTCTCCTGCTTGCTGATGAGGTCCTGTAGCATCCCCAGCGCGGTTGCGTGAACGGCCCGTGGCGGAATGTAAACAGTGAGTAGAAACACAGCGGTGAACTCCCTCAGTAGATAAAAGGGTCTGCACTTTAGCATTAAAAGTTCAATGAACAGTGCTTTTCAACAACCTGCACATCCCCACACCATCTGTTGTTAATGTACACACACACCACCCACCCTGGTTTTCTTCAAGGCCTCTGTGCGGTCTCTGCGGTTGATGGAGTGTGTGTGGAGCAGGAGAGCCGAGTTTGGCGCGCTGTTCGGGAGCCAGGTCTCAGTGAAAATAAGAGCACAACATTCCCTTATCTCAAACTGAGTTGTAGTCTTAGTTCTCAGCTCGTCCATCTTATTTTCAAGAGAGCGGACATAAACCAGCAGCAGGCTAGGTAGCAGTGGTCATGTAGCTCTAGCCTTTAGCCTAGCATGTAGGCTAGCAAACATGTCGACCACGGTGGGCGCCATGTTGATTGAATGATTGATTTCAGCACCTTTCTAGTGTTTTACTCAAAGCACTGTACACTACATGCTACATTCACCCATTCACAAACAATCACACACTGATGGCAGAGGCTCATCAAAAGCAGAAACTAACTCTTTCATGCACAGAACATCGTAGATTGTCCTCGTTTGGGGGGGTTGAAAATGTGGTCATCCTTAGCTTGTCAAATCAGCCCATGGCCACTTTGCCCACATTTATCATATGAAGTGTGCACCCAGGGCTGGATCTAGAGCAATATTCATCGGGTGTCCAGAGGGTGGCATGGAGAGTTTAAGGTGCGGCAGAAATATATGCTGACCTAATAACAATCACATATATTAATATTTGCTTAGAAAAGCCTCCAAATGAAGATATTTGAACCCAAAAACATTACTGTGGCACATTAGTAAAGCACTGAATAGAAATATCTAAAGGTGGCATTAGAAATCAAAACATTGTTTTATTTCCAAATCTTTAGACATTTTTCCAAATAGTCTTTTTTCATTGAACTTATGCCAATCAGTCTAAATGTGACCATAACAGGTCATTAATTTAAGTTCTGTATTTTACATGTTTTATCTTAAACTAATCTAAATTAATGTGTTCAATCTGACATCATGCTGCTGGGGTGGCCAGGCATCAGTGGTGGACTTAATAATAATAATAATAATACATAAAATTATTAGAGGCGCCTCTCTGGGCACTCGAGGACACCGTACAACACAAAAAACAAAAAACAAACAAAAAAAAAAACAGCAAGAAATAAGAAACAGATAAGAAAAGAGGCTAGGTACTTAGGCTAGGTAAAAAAAAAGAAGGCATGATGCATTTATGGTGAAACAGCACTTCACCATATTTTGACCACTCTGGAAGTGAACCCTGGAGTAGTGGATCACAGCCTTTTCCTTACATGACATATTTTATGGATATTTCATATTATATTCAATGCATAACAATAACAGTAGAGAACAACTAATAAACTGTACAACAAACATATATATGTATATATACATATATGTGTGTGTGTGTGTGTGTTCAGTTCTTCAAAGTTTAGATATTAAAGAATAACTTCTGCAGTGTGTAAAACATGGGGGCAACCCATTTACAGTGTATATAGAGGACAGACTGGAGTATCTTAAACCTGCATTCCATGTAATGACCAGCAGGGGCCAGCACCATTGGCTGCAATAAAACATTGGCTTGCAGTGTTATGGAGAAATTATCCGACTTCTCACTTGATTTATTAGTTCAGTAAACAGTTTCTTAATGAGTGTATGGTTTCAATCTCTAGTCTTCTTCCATACAGCATGATGTTCATTTAGTAAATTATAGTCCCATTTAGAGTAAAACAGACAACAAAGCAGGGTATGGTGTGGCTACTTTGTGATTGACAGCTCATTCTCAATGAGTCTGTCCAGCTCAACATACCAAACTCAGATCAACCTGTCAAACTAGGCAGTGCTGATCAAATATCAATCAAGATTTTGTTATTGTATTGCCTATTTCTCACTTCACAAACATTTTAATGCACTGTTTAGCTGTAATACATGATTGTGTGTGACCAGGCGAGTTTGCATTGTTTTCTGCTACGGAGGAGCCAATGAGAGCAGCTCAACTCGCAGTACATCAACCAAACTCCAGAAACCAATGGATGATGTCACTATATAGGTTAACACTGAGGGCAACACACCCTTATGAAGTGCCACCCCTCTCGAGCCACCCCTGCATGCACCCTTAGCCCACTTCAACCCCAGGCTTATGTTCAGTCCAAATAGGGCTCACACAACTATGCAATATGGGTAACGAGATTAATTATAAAATAAACACCCAAAATGATATGACTTAAGCTAAGGACCAAAAGAAAATATTTGATCATGAATATCAGTTGAAAGCACATTTCTGATATGTTTTTTCTGTCCACTTTCCACTATAATCATCTGTTCATTTATTCTTAAAGTTTGTTCCTCAAATTTACATGAAATTGGGACTGTTGTGGACGGCACAGCCCTGCCGGCTGTCAGAAGCAGAGCCGCAGCACACTTGGCAGCGGCAGCATTCCTGGCCAGGACAGCCGTGAATGTGATTGGGAGGGGCGGACAGAGCAGCAGCAGTAGTCTGGGGTCCTACATCCTCTCTGCTGAGACTCACTGCCCCCCGTACTTAAAAGATCTCCGGACCCCCAATCCTCCTCCATGTGCTTTTAACGGCTTTTTCACAGAGAACAGGGAGCGGCACAGCGAAGTGAAGTTGTGAGGACGCCGAATCCGCAGCGTGCTTTCTGTTTGTGTTGATGTTTTTTTCCTCTTTGGCCCGGCATTCCCAGTAAACCAGGAAAATTGCTTGGTGTAGCTGTATCGGAGAGAAGGCTCGGGAGGAGGTGAAACAGCGGGACATGATGACTGAGAAAGAAACGGCGACAGAGAAGATAATAACAGGTAAATACGCTGTTTTTTTCTGAGCAGTTTGGTAGTTTTTTTTAGCAATGGCCATCTCTGATAGCAATTATTGCGTGCGCACAGTTCGGTGTGGTCGTATGTGGGACGCGTTTACGTGCACACTAGTGAGGTTTCCGAGGTTATCGCTAAACGCTGTTATCACATCATATTGTTACATTACGGGGTCATTCAGCCTTAAAAAGTCTCCCTAACGCCCCGACTGCAGTGCAGGGAGGCTGTATGAGCGATGAAGCACTGCCCTGGCTGTCCAAGGGCAACCGCAGTGTACAGGACCTCGCCTACTGGCCTGCTCGGAGCAGCACTCTCCACAACGAACATGGCGATATTAAAAGTTTATCAATCCGGCTCGTGTTTTCCGCCAACGAGGCTGAGCTCGGTGTGTTAACAGTTGGTTGGAGAAAAGATACGGGCCAGTTCGGTCCTCCATAACGGTGCAGAGTTTGGTCACATGGCCCGTCCCACTGGAGTTGTGACTCAATGCAGCAAAAAAGTCTGCACCATGTCCTCAGGTAACGCAGTATTGTTCACCCGCCCAGACGGTGCTGCTGTTCGGCTGCGGTAACACCGAGCAGCGGTTCTGTCCACTGGAGTAAATGTCCGCCGGTTTAATCAATCGAATATGTTGTTCTCTTCTCGATGAATACGATAAGTTTGCCTCAACATCACCTTCCCCTGTCGTAGGTACACAACGTACTGTAATGAGTAGTCAGACGAACTCCATTGGATTTTTGTCATTTTACTGTTGCTCGCTGGTCTGAAAGCACAAGCGGACATTAATTCCAAATCACTATGCAAGATCCTTTGTAAATACTCATACTGTAAAATTCGGCAAGCACTTAGTACACAAAGAATCGTTTATTTTAACAGTGTTTCAACTTTTAGGTGTCTCCCTCATGATTTTGCAACATAATCCACTGTGGAGGGCGATAATGAGCAGTGTGCGTCATTCCCACACTGTGAGCTGATTCACTTATACATTGGTCTTTTCAGTAGCTTCTACTGATTTGTACAGCATCATACATCTTGCTGTTTAACCTTTTAAATAGCATGCCAAAATTAGGGAAAAATTAAATGGAGTTTGGTTGATTGGAAGTTCCTGGGAAAAACCTTTCTGGGGGGCTTGGTAATGCTACTGCCTTATGCAATGTAATGAGTGGCACAGAGACTGCAGCCTGATGATGTCTTAGGGATGTGAGCTAAACCAGACTTTGTGTGACTTAGTCCTAAAGATAAAATGGCTGCTAGTGTTTCTGAAAGGTACATTTATACTGTTACTACTACTTATATATGGTGTGGTCAGCCAGGAGGTTACCAGGATGTTACATGGTGCAAACTAAGAGATTATCACACTGCACAAGTGTCCTGTGTATAAGAAGTTGCCTTTGACACACTGTGTGGTCTGCAGGTAATTGTGTGTTGCTCTGGGACTTTTTAATACCAAGCCATGGCTAAGGATGGAGCAATTTTTTCAAAAGGGCACCAGCATGCAGAAAGCCATGATGCATCTCTGGTGAAACAGCTTAGTCATGGTTAGCACACTAAAGGCTTTTACCCAGCTTTGTCCACTGGAATGGTACCATAGAGGGCACTCTATCATGTTTTAGCTACCATAGGGGTGTCCAGGTCTTGTTGATCTTGTGGTTAGATCTTGTCTATGTAGTCCAGTCTGTTCTTCACCCAGTTTTTTTAGCATACATAAAAAAGGGTACATCTTCACAGAGTTTCTTGTGAGTGAGGGTTACTATTCCTATGTGACATGAATGCAGCATCACTCTGCTGATCCTCCCCACTGTAGCTCCATCTCCCTGACAGTGAAACCAAACTGCATTAACTTGCAGCAGGATGTCACACAATCATGATAAATGACAACACTCAGAGCCAGGTGTCATATGTCATCGGCTGTGGCATTGAGCTTGATGATGGTTATTTGTCTGTCAAGACCTCAGGTATGGAGATTTGCACTACAGTACCCATAACATCTCTAAATCCAATATGGCTGCACCCCCATGTCTAATATTATTTACTCGGGCAGGCAACTACTTAATTTGTGTTTGTCTTGTATTTTCACAGCATCAGTTGTAGTATAAAAGAAGCCCTTTGTTTCAGGGTTTTTAAAAGCGGTCTGAACCCTCTGTGGGCCATGTCAGCCTAAAGATAAGATGGTGTGTTGCAAAGGGTCAAATACAAGTGCTTTTTTCATATCTCACTGTCCACTTACACACTGAACAGAATGTCTGCAGTCATGCAGGTTTGAGGTGCTTTCAGGGATGTCTGGCAATGCTGACGATAGTTATTGGTCAAGCAGATGTCACATCAGAACAAAGCATGACTACATCAGACACACAAAGGACGAGTTTAACATTTTGGGTATCTCCCTGTGCTTTTTTCTTGCCATGAGTGAGGTTCCAAGAGTTGGTTTAAAGTGACACTTTTTTGGGCCTCCAACTAGCTTGTGCTAGCCCCAGTGGTCATCGGCCTTACTTCACCCAGCCACAAAAGGGTAGTAAGTGCATCTGATCTGCTTTATGTGTCTCTATAAGGATGATGATTAAATTAAATATTGAAATATTAATGAGACAAGTTGGGTAACTAGAGTTAAGTAAGTATGTAGATTAATTGGCTAATTGAAAAAATAATATAATTGTTGGGTGCAGCCTAAAGACTGTAACTTTCCTCAAATGAATACATAAAGCAAACATTAATTCCTCCATGTTTTCTACACTGTTTATGATTTGACAGGCAGTCATTTTATTATGTCATCTTGTTGCACCCTCTTCTTCTGCAATAGTTTAGTGGCAGAATTAGTGCCACAATGACGAAGCAACTTAATGTAACCACTGTGGATTGAAAAATACATTGAATCAAATTGTCTTGAGATATGGTTGACATTTTCAGCTGACTAAAATATTGCAGGCCAGAAATTTCAATGTCATGTAGAATTCATCAGTGTCGTGAGCAATTCCAATGACAGTGCTTGTTGTCATGGTAATACAACTTCCACACCTTCCTTTCACATTCTTGAATAAATCTGACAGAAAATTAGGAAAATATAAAAATTCTGGTCATCGATGAGAGGTCAGAGTTAGATGTCACTCTGCTGAATCATGTCTTGTATTCAACTGCACTGAAGGCAGAGTCAAATTGCACTGTCTTCTTTTTATACAGTTGTCCAGAATGCACAGTGACTAAGCATAAATTTAGTTATAAATATAGCTATACAAATCAGGGAAAGCTCCTAATTTCATTAGTTTCTAAAGGTGTATTTCGTCACTGGTATAGAACAAGTTGTGGCTCTGAGGAAGCACTTTCCCTTTAGTATACATCTCAGATTATTGATACGTCCTCTTCTTCCTCTGGGGACTGCAGTATAGGGAGTTAACACAGCAAAGACATCAGTTGGAACACCCCTCAGTTGATTACTTAGATTGTGAAGAACATTTCTCAAGATGAGAAGTAATTATTGGCTAATCAAGTCTTTTATCGAGTGTGCTGGTTCAACATCTCAGGAATATAAAACATTAATTGACACACCCAAATACAGCACTGCTGAAACTAACTCAGGGCCAAACACAAATCCCTCACTACAAGAGGAACAAAAGGAGACGTCAGCTAGAGCGCCGGCAACCAGATTAGTGTCACCAAAACTTCACTGATTGCATTTCATCAGTTTTGCAACTATAAAATTATATTTAAAAAGGTTAAAATTCAAAATTCCAAGTTGTGTTGGTCAAAATTTAAAACCAGCTTCACCTTATTGACCAGCTGACCCTATGTTTTTTTTTTTTTTTTTACTGGAGCCCTGGGGACTCCCACTTGTCAGGATGACATTATGGAAGAAACTGTCTCTAGTTTTTGCGATTCATGTCAGATAAGAGCCATTAGGGACTTGCCTGACTGACTGAGAATGTGTAAATAGTTTTGCTGAGAAGTTTTGTTGAAATAACATGAACGTCGCCTTTAACGCCATAAGGTCACCTTTTTATCGTTCTCCATAACTTTCATATAATGTGAATGATTTCAGAGGCAAAGACCCGCCCGAGGTCTGTCTCTTATTGGTTTAGAACATGATATGATCCTACCATGAGTGTGTGAGTTCGGTCACAGGAGAACACAGAGAGATGATGCACTTGCGAAATAAATTTATGTTTTCACCCGGGCAGCGTCAGGTGAAAAATTATTAGTCGCACTCTTAAAAATTTTGGTCGCATGTGCGCACTCTGGAGCCCTGTTACCCCAAGTTTCGAGGCTTTCTGAACCTTTTGAGCTGCATATTTTAGCTGGGATCTTTGGGCTTCAGACACCAACTCTTGCAAAGTAACACCGACCTCTGATTTTTCTCCTCATCTTCATGTTTTCTTTATGGTGGCTTAACACCGCAAATTTGTTGCCATGTCTCTAATAACATGTAAAGCAGATGTTTCTTGTGGTCAGACATTGTGTAAGCACCATATAGTAGTAAGCTGCTTCGATTGGATTTGCTGAGCTTGCGATGGTACGGTGGACAGTGAGGGTCACATTAGTGTTAGCTTGTACACGTCACATTGATGTAAATGTAACCCTACACCATGATTCCAAATTAATTCCTGTGGCCAGTGATTTGCTTTCCTGCCAAACCAAAATTTACCCACATTTGGCACTTGGCGGGTGTTCATTTTGGACCCTGCCTGCAACTAGGAGTTGAAGCTTCCAGTCTGAGTGAGCTGGATAGAAAATAAAAGGTACTTCATTTACATCAGTGTGTTCAGTAAATGAAGTGGTCTCTGCGTGCTGTTGACATCTGTCTGTGAATTATGTGGGGGAGGGTGTCAGACAGAGGTTTGGTTGGTGGTAGGTGTCGAGGGGGTTGGGTGATGTAACACCCTGGCCATTAACTTCTCAAAGATCAGCTACTTTCACTACTAATCCACACAGTGGGAGCTGAGCAGTGCAGTCTGTGAGCATTCAGACAGTCTCGATGTGGCTCTGCAATTATTGGATTT